CCCCCCCCCCAGGAAACTGCCCTTTAGCAGCTGGCTTTGGGAAATCCAATCTTCACCAAACTCTGAGGGATTGTAGAGTCGAGTCCAGGGAAGCTTCCTGCAATTTCGGTGTCTCTAGGTTCCTTGGAAGGCATTTCATAGCCAAACAAATCAATGAATTTTTAATAATCACATTTTTTAAAAATTTGTATTTATTGGGTCACTGATTTATAAGAATATGAATCAACAAATCAGCAATTTTTGAATAAATTTGGTGATTTCGTGTTTTTTAAAATTCGTGACCATCTCTGTTTGTGGTACAATGACAGAAGTTCTGTTGTTTAGTAAGTCACATTTGAGTAGGACCAATGAATATGTGAGGATCTGATGAGTCAACTCCTCTGTAAGTTCCAGAGATCTTGCTGCTCCTAAAGTCTATATAATATTAGTAAACTTATTAAAATTGTTGCAATACAATTATAGTGGCATCAGCACCAGTAATATCAAGATGGAATGGAAATTCAAGATGCTTTCTTGTTTCAAATATGTTTTGAAAACAGAATGTGAACTATTCTTAAATGGTAATGTTGAAAAGGTTTTACCATTTTACACCAAAATATCTCTCTGTGCAGTATTTTATATCTTTGTTTTATGAAACAAAAACAAACAAACATAAAAGAAATGTAACAAAATAAAGGTCATTTCCTTTTATTACTAATGGAAATCTAAAATTAAATATTAAAATGTTGGACTGAATTGTCACCAATATGATTGAAACACTCAGTATTTATTCAGTCAGTGTAACTGAGCAATTATATATAAATGCACATAGAATCTAAGTGCCTTGCTGGATTAAATTAGAGGGTTATGAACCACAGTGTTATTTCACAGCATGACCATCTAGTAATTCCTTCGTGCAGGCCACGGGTACTACAGGACTCCCCTGCTTGTGACAATATGGGAGCAAACTGTTTCTATATATAGAACTTTTATGACTTTATGATAGGCCTATTTTGGTATGTTTGGGGGCAAATTTTTGTCAACAGCAGTTCTTATGGGCTGCACCAGGCAAGACAATATCTAAAAACTGATTTTAAAAAGTGAGGAAGAGACAAGACATTCATCTTTAGGTCTGGATTTTTAGGGACACACACACCTATATCTGAAGACATGGACTTAATCCACGAAACCTCACATTAAAATATAGTACAGTGGTGCCTCGCATAACGAGCACACCGTTTAACAATGAATCCGCATAGTGATCTATTTTTTGGGATCACTAATGCGATCGCATTGCGATGTTCTGAATGGGCAAACATCGCATTGCGATGATCGGTAAGCATTTCGCTTACCGATCTTCACATTGCAATGTTTTTAGAACAGCTGATCGGCGGTTCCAAAATGGCCGCCGGGGGCCCAAAATGGCCACCGCAAGCATTTTCGTGCACTGCCCTCGCTTACTGAGGTGACAAAAATGGGGGCGCTATGGAGGATCTTGGCTGAACAGTGAGTTTGGGCCCCATAGGAACGGGGTTTTTAGTTCCGTTTAGTGAGGTTTCTGGATAGCGACAATTAATCCGGAATGGATTAACGTCGCTATGCAGGGCACCACTGTAGGTAAAGTGCCACAATATTTTTGTCATTTTGTTTTGTTTTCTTGTCTGCTATACACATACACAAAATACTCCCATGGTCAGGCAGGGAAATAGTGATGGTGGTAGTAACTGTAACAGGAGTGCATTGGAATGGCTCCATGGGTGCCCAAGGCTGCATGTGGCCCAGAATCTGTGTTCTATCTATCTATGTAGTAAGCTATGGTGCTAAATTACTACTAGTTGATTTATTTTCTATTTACAGGACATGTGCTCATAGGAACATACTCTTTGGCAACATTTTTAAGCAGGGCCCATCCTACCACTAGGCAGAGTGAAAGAACTGCTTTACTGTAAGTAGCAAGTGTTCAAAACCAGTCAAAGCAACCTCCAGATGTTCTCCTATCTAGTGGAGCAAAGTGAGGGAAGCCACAGAACTTGTCCTGGGCTTCCCAATGTAGCCTCCTGTCTCTAATGTGATAAAGGGCAATTGCCGGTCCAGCTGGCTTCTGTATATGGGATAGAGAGTCAGCATTATGTTGTTCACAACAGCCAACAAAATGACTTATCCCAGTCCTGCTCTGTAAAGGAATAGTATGTTTTTACTTACATTTCCAACTACTGTACAATTATAAAAGTTAATAGTCACTGCTGAATACAGATAACAATTTACTAAAAAAAATAGACAAAATGAATGCCTGAGAAGTTAAGAGAATGTGGAATCTTTCTTTTCTAGAAACACACCTGGACAGAAAAGAAGGAGGAAAAGATGAAACATACCAAGAAGGTTCAAAGTTCTTATTTATTGTGGCTCAAACAAGTTTGAAAGGGATTTTTACACAGACTTCAACTAGGGATTGTGAGTTTCAGTTACTTGTGCCAGTTCTCCACCACACCCTCTGGCCTCCATTAAAAAGCAACCTATGCCTAGCTTATACTGAGGAAATAAATGTGTCACTAAGACTACTTCCCACACTCATTCTGCTTCAAGGGTTTCTGCACTGTCAGGTATATGTAGCTGGTGAGATTCAGCAGATGAGTTTCAAGCAACAGGATTCAGCAATTAATTCCTTCAGTGTGCCTCTATTTCTTGACAGTAATGCCACTGTCTCTAAAGTTCCTCAGCTGGATGTTTGCATCAGCCATGTGCCCCCTTCCTTTCCTAGCCCCAGGTCAAGGTCATGTAGCCTAACTAGCTTTACCTCTTCCACTGAAGCAGTACACCTTTTCAGCTTCCTGCTGTGAAGGTTCCCCTACTTTACACCATGAATTAGCCAGTGGGTTGGCTGGCTGGATGTTCCCCTACTTTACACCATGAATTAGCCAATCTTAGTGGGTTGGCTGGCTGGACAGTTCTGTCATTTAAGTATCTGGCTGCAGAGCCAGAAGGTGGGAGTTTGATTCCCCACTGTGCCTCCTGCGGTAACAGCCAACCTGTGTAGTCAATGGCAAGCTGTGCAGTCCCAGACTGTCTCAAACAACATCAGCAGCAACGACTTACCTCCACTGCCACCTTTTAGAGTTATGTCTGATGAAAAGCTTGTAGAGGATCTTGAGCCAAAAGAGTCCAAACTATCAAAGGAATCGTCTCTCTTATGGCTAGTAGATGAAGGAAGTGTATCACTCCGTTCAATATACCAAATATCACCGTATCCACTATCCCTTCCACTTTGTTTGGGACTGCAGGATTCTCCAAGAGCCTGCAAGGAAAGGATTTTTTACAATGTTCAAAGAACATTATTTTAGTCTTAAGTTTGCACTAGGTTTGCAATGTAACTTTTGTATGATACTGACATGAATGATATTTTTCTGAATGGACAGCTACACTTCTAAAAACATATTTAAACTGTTTAGGATAGATAGGTAATAAAAATGCAATTTTTGCTTTAAAATCTGAATGTACATTAAAAAAAAACAGTTATTCTGGAGGCAGTTTTATAGTTTTATAGTAAATAATCCAGTACATAAACAAAGTATTATACTAGGGCTCAACAACATTACAACAAACTATTCTCTAATTATTCTCTCTTTCCCCCTTCCCTTACAATGATTAAAACCAGAAGTGAAAATCATATATGAAAAAAGTGGAGTCTGTCACAAATAAACTTATATAGAAGGCTACTTAGAGGAAAGTGTGCCATGATTTAGTCACCAGAATTTTTAAAAAGCAGTTGCTAAACAGCTTATTACACAGAATGTAAGAACAAACACATGCAATTTTTGCTCAAATTACTTTTCCTTCCATTAATGTCTTACCTTTGTCAAAGCTTGTCCTAGTAATTTCTCAAAGGCTTTTAAATTAAGGTGTGGGCCATTATAATATGGATTGCTATGTGCTTTTCTGCCCAACCAATATAATGTAATCAAAACCTAAACAGAAAACATTTAAGGATGATTAAATGCCGCCAGAATTGTTCAGTGGAGATGCATCACAAAGTGTAATACCAGGTCTAATACCTACAGAACAGATAATAAAAGCTGTATGTCAGTGCCATTATAGTAACACTTTGAATCTTCTTGCTTATAAGATTGAGGTATTTCCGGGCAACCACTGTCCATTTCATAAGTGCTTTATCAGATGCCTACTTCAAATTGATGGCCAAACATAGCATTTCTTGATCAGTCTGTGAATATTTGTTTTTTCAGACTGTAGTTGCAATCTGGAAAGATCTCTATATTCTGTACCAGGGAATGGTTAGACCAATTAGTTTCTCAATCTAATACCTTGCTGTAAAATTACATGGTAACTTAACTGAAATGGTGTCCTTGAGCTTTATGCCTTTGTTGAACTCAGCATTGAAAGATCTCCATTCATCGGAGAAGCTTGGACAATTGTGGCTGGTAGGTAATGGCTATGAAGGTGATTCACTTGCCAAGATTTATTTTTTTTTATGCCAATCATTGCCTCTGCCTATTCCAGACCACTTTTGGGCAAGTAAATTTAATGACATTTATTGATCATAACAAAAAAGAAATAATTATTAAAGCCACTATATATTTTGAAGTTCTAAAAATGGAGTAGTGGGAGCTTATCTCAATTATGATACATACCAATTAAATAATTTGATCAGAATTATTATTAATTGTGGCTCAAAAGAATTTCTCCCTTTAGAATGTGACATGCTGAAGTAACCCATGGACTTACTTTTAAAGCTCAGAAAACTAAAGATATTAATCATGTTTCTAATCATTTTCTTTTTAACACCTTAAAAATCTGGGGGGGTTTACTATAAGAAATTAATACTTTCCTCCTTCCCATTAGAATAATGTTTGCATCACCAGCTCTTTTTTGACACAGACAAATTCAGACAATTTAGAGAAGGGGAGAGTAAATACTGTATTTTTTAAGAGACCTATACAATGGGAGACAACCTAAAACAGCAATAGGGCTTAAAATCAACTAGGAGAAGTTAATTATCATGGTTCTGAAGACTTCAAGTAGTATATTTTTCAGGAATCCATCAAGTTCAAAAACAGGGTGGCAAACACTTGGATACTTTTGAATCTATTATTTTATGATAGGAAGAGTCAAACTTCTAAAATACAGTATACAATATCTCACTAAATACAATACTTAATAATAGTCAAGCTTAAAAACAAACTTAGAAGGGAGCCCTACAAGTTTATATGGGTAATAGGCATTGGAAACTTATTCAGAAATCCACATCATTTTCCTCATTTTCAGCCGATGGAAGGGAACGTGGTATAAAACTAGCTAAGATTTGATGTTTAAGCTCTATTATATTAATTTATATTACTTGTGGAACTTCAAGGAAATGTGGCCAGATTGGCTAATACAGGCATCTTTGGTGGTTTTGTCCAAAGGTTCTATCATTTTGAGAATTAATTTTCAAGGAGCTGGAGTTGGTCAACCATAAGTCTACATATACCTTACCATCTTTGGGTACTCTCTCATTTTTAGGGGACAATTCCAATCTGAATCTTAAAAGACTTATTTCATTGATTTGTTTAACAGCTAAACAACAGATTGTAACCAGCTGGAGAAATTTTGCTATCTCAGTGGCTGTTAAGAGTTTGGCATATGGCTCTTATGAAAAAGCTAACATTTCAGATTCATGAAAACTGTCAATGGTAGAAATACATTTATGGACACATGGTTTCCTTTTATCTCTGTTATGTATCTTCAGATCATTCTACCTCACCACCAATGTCACATGTAAAGTTATGGACTGATTTAACGTAATGCAGCTCTTTGTTTTTAAGGTGGATATTACTTGCTAGTTTTTAATAAAAAAATAATGTGAAAAAAGATGAGTTGTTTCTATCTATGGTATAATACACATCTTGTATCATATTCCACTAACAGTGATAGTACAAATCCACTAGATTCACTAGAACTTGGAATCTTGGCTGGGAAAATGAGCTTGAGACAAAAGGATTAAGTACCAAGTTGCCAGACCCACATTTTCTGTCATACGACTAATACGACCCTCAGCCACTACCATTCCTTGCCTAGATTCTCTAGGTGCCCATCATGCATCTGGCAGATGCATTACAGATGTCAATGTGACCACATATGCTACAGACAATGAGTGAAAGACTTCATAATGTCTTGAAAAGCAGGAATAAAGTTTGGAAGTTATAGGTACAAGTCTAATTTTTTTTCCTGAAAAAGCATATGCTGGTTTGAATAAAATACACTCTGAAAACTGAGATTTTTGTCTTACGTTTTTCACTCTTCTGTTAGTCTCTTCTTGCCTGCAAAACAAACCCCAAAGAAAAACAATTGTCAGGCACACATTCTTTTCTTTTTTAGAATGACTGATACTGAACAGTTAATGCATAATAAGATAACTTGAGTCCATTAACACTCATTACATACTGGAAGCAGGTGTCCTGCAAATACACATAAGCCACAGAACAGAGTTTTCTTTAAAAAAAAACAGAATTCTGGTGCTCTAACCATTATCATGTCTATCTGAGGTTTCAGTTCTGTCAAAATCATAGCACTTAGACAGAGAGCATCTCCACCTAAGAGGGACACCATATTAGCTATTCTTTGAAACACTAAGTCTCATTCTTTGAAAAGCAGCAAGGTGAATAAAGATGCAGGACTTAGGCAAATACCACCAGCAAATTGAGAGAGATGCAGCCCATTTTACCTACTAAACCACTGGTTCTTAACCTTGGGTTACTCAGGAGTTTTGGACTGCAACTCCCAGAAGCCTTCACCACCAGCTGTGCTGACTGGGGTTTCTGGGAGTTGCAGTTCAAAAGCATCCGAGTAACAAAGGTTAAGAACCACTGTACTAAACTATTAATATTCAAACTTCAGTCTCAAAATGTTGTTGGATTTCAATTCCCAGATGTCCAGAGATGGTGGCTGATGGGAACTGAAATCTAAGACAGTTTCATGACAGAAATAAAAAATGGACCACCTTTATTTGGAAGCAAACCACTAGGAAATCTGAGTCACCTCATACCAGTCAGAGAAATAAACAAGCATGGCCCTTTAAAAAAGAAAAAAAAAAGAAAATGCAATTTATAACTATTTTTTAAATTTCAACAAATAATTGAAAAAGTAATATGGTTTATAGCAAATATCATTTTATCACTATAAGCTTTTCTCTGTGTGTGCCTACCTATTCCAACAGTGCTATTACTCTATTGAAACTCATATTTGTTTGAACACAGCATGCTATTTAGCTGGCAAGCTAGTGGCACACAAAAACAGGAACTCAAGTTCACATTTTCCTTCACTATGATTAGCCCTGTATGCCACATATTATGAGCTTTCTATGCCTCTAACTACAATAATCACATGTGAATTTCAGAGTTAAGAATATATTATGAATCCCCACAAGGAATTCAAAGAACAGAACCTCCTTTCATTGAGCAATTCCAATATTTGCAAGAATGTTGTATCATAATGTACAAAAACAACTGGAGGCCTGGGCAAGATAAGATAATGCGAAAAGATAAACTCTGATAGGAGGATTATTTTTGGTACCAGCTTCATGCAGGCCCAACCCCATATGGTCCATCATTTATATAAGGTTGCTGTCACTTCACCTGAGATGCACTTAAATATGCACCATGAGAATACAAGTCACTAGATAATTTTCAGTTTCCTCCATGAAATACAGAAAGGAGCTAAGGCACCAAGCAGTATTCAGAAGGCTTTACTGTCTTACTTCCCTACATGGTCCTGTCTTCCCTGAAGGCACATATACTGGTAACTCTCACTTTCTACGACAAAGCAAATCTTCACTTAGAAACAGAACAAGTTGAAATCAGACAAATACAGACACAAACAAATCACACAGTAGCAATCTTTACAGCCTTCTCTCAAATGCTTTTGGAGATTCTCTAGCCTCCTCCTTACCCGCAAGCTAAAACATATAGCACTGGCTATATTTTTATCTCCACCGAAGCAGGAAGAGCACATCCGCTACCTGGCAACCAACCGAAGTCATCAATACAAACCTTTTTTTTTCTAAAGCAAATTTTCTTACATCTTGTTTAAAAAAGAGCCTTGAGAAAGAATTTGCATGGCTGTATCAGCCAGAAGTCCTGTTCTGCCTTGGAGCCATATATGTATAGTACTAAAGGTAAACTGTGTGGACCAGAGCAAACTATGGCAAGTCCTTAAAGAAATGGGAGTGCCTGACCACCTTGTCTATCTCCTGAGAAACCTATATGTGGGACAGGAAGCAACAGTTAGAACTGGATATGGAACAACGGATTGGTTCAAAATTGGGAAAGGAGTACGACAAGGCTGTATATTGTCCCCCGGCTTATTTAGCTTATATGCAGAATACATCATGTGGAAGGCTGGACTGGAGGAATCCCAAACCGGAATTAAGATTGCAGGAAGAAATATCAACAACCTCCGATATGCAGATGATACCATTCTGATGGCAGAAAGTGACGAGGAATTAAAGAACCTTGTAATGAGGGTGAAAGAGGAGAGTGCAAAAAACGGTCTGAAACTCAACATCAAAAAAAAACCTAAGATCATGGCCACTGGTCCCATCACCTCCTGGCAAATAGAAGGGGAAGATATGGAGGCAGTGACAGATTTTACTTTCTTGATCACTGCAGATGGAGACAGCAGCCGCAAAATTAAAAGACGCCTGCTTCTTGGGAGGAAAGCGATGACAAACCTCGACACCATCTTTTAAAGCAGAGACATCACCTTGCCAACAAAAGTCCGAATAGTCAAAGCTATGGTTTTTCCTGTCGTGATGTATAGAAGTGAGAGCTGGACCATAAAGAAAGCAGACCGCTGAAGAATTGATGCCTTTGAATTGCGGTGCTGGAGGAGGCTCTTGAGAGTCCCCTGGACTGCAAGGAGAACAAACCAATCCATTCTAAAGGAAATCAACCCTGAGTGCTCACTGGAAGGACAGACCCTGAAGCTGAGGCTCCAGTACTTTGGCCATCTCATAAGAAGAGAAGACTCCTTGGAAAAGACCTTGATGTTAGGAAAGTGTAACGGCAAGAGGAGAAGGGGACGACATTGGATGAAATGGCTGGACAGTGTCTGCGAAGCAACCAACATGAAATTGACACAACTATGGGAAGCAGTGGAAGACAGGAGGGCCTGGCGTGCTCTGGTCCATGGGGTCATGAAGAGTCGGACATGACTAAACGACTAAACGAACGAACGAAAGGTAAAGGTAAACGTTCCCCTTGATATTTTTAGTCAGTTGTGTCCGACTCTAGGGGGCGGTGCTCATCCCCATTTCCAAGCCGTAGAGCCAGCGTTAGTCCGAAGACAGTTTCCGTGGTCACGTGGCCAGCGCGGCTATACACAGAACGCTGTGTACCTTCCCACCGAGATGGTACCTATTTATCTACTCGCATTTGCATGCTTTCGAACTGCAAGGTTGGCGAGGACCTAGGACAAAGCAACGGGAGCTCACTCCGTCGCGTGGGTTCGATATTACGACTTCTGATCTTCTGACCCTGCAGCACACAAAGGCTTCTGCGGTTTAGCCCACAGCGCCACCACACCCCTATATGTAGCATTGGTAGTAGTACTATACATCCATTATTGGATGTATAGTACTACTACCAATAATAACAGTGTACTGTCATGTCATTTATGGTGATGCGTTCAGGGTCTTTTAGACATCTGCTCGGAAGTGGTTTGCCATTCCCTTCTTTTGGGTTCACCCCTGGGACTGAGCTGCTTGTCCAGGGCCACAAAGGATGACTTATCTCCCAGGACACATAATGAGGAATTAGACTCCTTATATCTGGCTCAGAACCCAGATTCCTAATTCACTGTGCTGTTCTGTCAGCATGGATGCTAACCAGAGGCATAAAAATCATGGTATTGTGCCTCTTTACCATTTTATTGAAACATAAAAGACATCAATCAACTCTTCAAATGTCTGCCCAAGCAGCATTTCCATACTCTGTATATGTATAAGAATCTGCCATATACCCGACAGAAGTTTTCACATCTCCCAATTCCTGACACTTGGATTGATCAAAGTAACTTCAAAACACTGACCGACTAACCTGCACCCCCCAAATACAAACACCAAACCAGAACCTTTGAACTGTGCAGTTTTTACTCTTAACATTCTGAACATTTTATTATTCCTCTTAAGTCTGAAGCCTGGAAGAACCACTTGTTCTTTAATCAACGTCCTACCAGACAAACTCAAGAAACTAAGGCCTATCAAGTACAGTATCTCAGCCAATACAAATACTTTCCCCCAGATTTGCATCTGGAGTATAAGAATATTCCTTTGCTTGCTGTGAACACCGTAGCAAAACAACCCTGGCTTCGTTTATACAGATTTCACCTTTCTTTTTGGCACAGCTCATCCTGGCTGTGATTCAAAGACAGTGTAAGCCTTACAAGCATTACCGACATGTAGACTTCAGTCTAGATAGGCGGGATAAACCCAGATTCCTAATTCACTGTGCTGTTCTGTCAGCATGGATGCTAACCAGAGGCATAAAAATCATGGTATTGTGCCTCTTTACCATTTTATTGAAACATAAAAGACATCAATCAACTCTTCAAATGTCTGGAAAAGCAGCATTTCCATACTCTGTATAAGAATCTGCCATATACCCGACAGAAGTTTTCACATCTCCCAATTCCTGACACTTGGATTGATCAAAGTAACTTCAAAACACTGACCGACTAACCTGCACCCCCCAAATACAAACACCAAACCAGAACCTTTGAACTGTGCAGTTTTTACTCTTAACATTCTGAACATTTTATTATTCCTCTTAAGTCTGAAGCCTGGAAGAACCACTTGTTCTTTAATCAACGTCCTACCAGACAAACTCAAGAAACTAGGGCCTATCAAGTACAGTATCTCAGCCAATACAAATACTTTCCCCCAGATTTGCATCTGGAGTATAAGAATATTCCTTTGCTTGCTGTGAACACCGTAGCAAAACAACCCTGGCTTCGTTTATACAGATTTCACCTTTCTTTTTGGCACAGCTCATCCTGGCTGTGATTCAAAGACAGTGTAAGCCTTACAAGCATTACCGACATGTAGACTTCAGTCTAGATGGGCGGGATATAAATTAAATAAATAAAAATAAATAAATACAACACACAAGAAATAAGAAAATTTCAGTCATGGTAGGTTAGATGCGGCTGCACTTGAAGAACAAGCTGAGGAAGGACAGAAAATGTACAACATAATGGTTTGCATGTCCCTATAATCCACTCTACTTTGTTTTAAATACATACTTGATACTTCCCTCTTGGCTTT